ATAATAAAAGCGTTCAGACCTCACATGAGCCATTCCACATACATGTATGTTTAATACATTATTGCACACATCCTTGCCTTGTAATGCAATTATTGGGAGCATGTTGTCCTTTATTCTCTATATTCCATAAACATATCATGGCTGTCCATTCTGATCTCTTTATAATCCAGCATCACCTCATGAATATTCATTACCACCTACTGAACATTCACCATCACCTCATGAATATTCAATATCACCTCATGAATATTCATTACCACCTACTGAATATTCATCATCATCTCATGAATATTCATCATCACCCCATGAATGTTTAAAATCACCTCATGAATATTCATTACCACCTACTGAATATGCATGATCACATCATGAATATTCAATATCATCTCATGAATATTCATTTTCACATGAATATTGCATACCACCACATGAATATACATCATCACCTCCTGGTATCCAATATCACCTCCTCAATATTCATTATCACCTCCTCAATATTCATCATCACAGTTTCTATTATCACATTGACATTCATTATTGCCTCATGAATATTCATTATTGGTTGTGACATTAAAATAATTCTACAGTATTTTATTGAGCTAGCTAACTTTCTTTGATTTCACTACCAAGTAATATAATCTGAGTTGAACACATGTTTTTCCTCTATCTAGACATGTCCTCTAATTTGATATTACATGATATTAAAAGAGCAGTATCCTATGACTTCATCTATTTTTAGTGAATCATTCAATGTCATTCCAACTTTTTTGTTGTGGTTAATAAGTATGGCTGAGCATCTTTTTTGAATGGCATTGTATATCTATTTGAACCGGTAACTCTTCTCTTCTCGGCTCCCCTCTTCCTCCCGTAACCCTTTCACCACCAGACTTTCTGGCCCATATTTGTCTGCACATTTTTCTTATATTCTTCAAAATTTCTGTAAATCAACCTTAATTTAAGAGTTAACAGACAAAATTTGAATAAACTTTCAGTTTTTAATCAAAAAATTTGGCAATTTTTGTCCTAACCTTCTGAAAGAAAGTACAGACTATAAACAGGACTATTTTGTGAATTTGTGATTGAAAAAAAAGGAACTCGTGGTGAAAACTGGTTCATCACCCTGTTGATAAAATATAAATTGTCCAAGCAGTATATACCCCCCTCCCCCCCCGCAACACACACCACCCCTATCCCACCTAATTAATAAATTTTAGGCAACTTCAGAAATGCATTTCAAGTGTTATTGGCTAGACTGAAGCACCCAAATTAATTAGTAAAATGCCATCTTAATTAATTGCAGATGTATATAATCTATTTTGGGCACCACATTTTACTCCATATATATGAGAACTGGCTTAGGGGTCCTGATGACTTATTGTTAACAGCTGGCTATTTTCTATATACTAGTAAAATCAGGCATACCATACTTCAAAACCATTTAATTAGGGCAACAACACTCTTTCTCAAATTACAAGGGTCAGGAAAAATTGAGAAAATTTCATAGCAGCTCAAAATTCCAGACAGTGAGTCACCATGACTAAATCTCTTCCCCACTAATGTCTTCGAAGACGATGGCAATGTATCAAATCCTCCATTGTGTAAATTAATAGCATACACAGACTTAGTCAAAGTTATAAAAAGTGAAAAAAAAGTTCATTTAAAGTATAATTTATGCTCATGTACGGCAACTATTAATGATGTCAGTGTATCGCCTTAATTAAGTCACGTAGCGTGCTGTAATTTTTCTGTTATGTGCAACATACATGGGAAATGCAAACAGTTCATAATGTAATCCTTATACTCATAATTTTTCCCTAAAATTTTTTTCTTTTGTATTTTCCTAAAATTTCATTTTTGATTTTGAACCTAACTGACATAATTACCAAATGCTAACAGGTATCTATATTTGCTGATTTGTCGGTCACCAATGCTGGATTTCTTTTAGATTTGGCTAAAATAAATCACTTCCATCCCTATAATTGGCGAATGAGAAGAATAGACAACTGATTATATCCAGAGGAAATGGTCATTATTATAAAATGTGTCATCACCCACGGAAAAATTTCATAATGTTATCTTTCTCCTCATTCGTCAAATAATTGAACATGTAGGTATTTGCCGAAGAGAAAACAATGAAGGAAAAGCCACTTTGGCTAAAACTACTTTACCTTGTAGTGGAAGCCCTGTATACCAAAGTCAAGTTCACCTTACTGTCAAACATAAAGAGAAATGTCAATGTGTCAGAGAAACAGAACATCATTGTACAGTCATGGTGTACCAAATGATAGGCACTCTTATTTACTATGTCTTATTAGCGGGTAGGTGGGGAGGGGGTACGTTTAGTAATGTTCAGAGAAGCTTGAAGGGCATCAGATATTTACTCCTGTAATTTCCTACCTGGGAACAATAGGAATCAATGGTGAAAATGTTCTAATAAAAACAATAAATTATAACCTACATTTTTTCAAAAATGCCGGTGACCCTTAACTTTTTTAGGTCAATATTCTTGTATTGACTGGGAATACCATTGATTGCAAAATGAATATTTGGTATTTTTAATTACGTCAGTCACACTGTAACATTTTAATTTTACAAGACTAATACATGAGGTCATAAATGCCATGATTTATAAACCAAGCAATTTAGTTTTTGCTGTAAGACCTTTATAAACTGAATACCTAAATAAACTAAACACCTCTGTAAAACAAACACTTATAAACTAAACACCTCTGTAATACAAACACCTTATAAACTAAACACCTCTGTAAAACAGACACCTTATAAACTACACACCTCTGTAAAACAAACACCTTATAAACTGAACACCTCTGTAATACAAACACCTTATAAACTAAACACTTCTGTAAAACACCTTATAAACTGAACACCTCTGTAATACAAACACCTTATAAACTGAAAACCTCTGTAAAACAAACACCTTATAAACTAAACACCTCTGTAAAACAAACACCTTATAAACTGAAAACCTCTGTAAAATAAACAACTTATAAACTGAACACCTCTGTAAAACAATCACCTCTATAAAACACCTTATAAACTGAACACCTCTACAAACCAAATAATTTTCTCAGTTCCATTTGTGTTCAGTTTACACAGGTTTTGCTGTAAGACCTTCATAAACTGAACACATATATAAACCAAACACCTCTGTAAACTGAACACCTATATAAAATGAACACCTCTATAAACCACAATTTTCTCAATTCCATTTGTGTTCAGTTTACACAGGTTTTGCTTTGAGATCTTTATAAATCAAACATCTCAGGAGGGAAAAAACAATTCGATAAAACGAATCCTTCTGTAAAAATCCCATATACATGTAAACCAAAAATCTCCATAAACACAACAATTATGTCATTTCGTGTTTAGTTTAGACAGGTATAACAAATAAATATGATAACAATGATTCAATTCATCTAAAAGGATTATTGTGGTACATGTACATTATCATACACTCACTTATGTTTAATTCTTCAAAATTATTCGAGCTGTATGTTATAAAACAAAAAAATTTGACACTAAAATCATCATGAAGATGGAATTTTACAAAATTTCAAAAAAAAATCTTCACTGGTATATTATTTCTTGATTATTTCTTGTCAAATTCACAAGATAGTTTGCACTAGGAATGTTTACAATTTCACATTCACATCTGCTTGCAAGGACAAAAATTGAAAAAAAATTACTTTGACCAACTAGTTAATCTTTATCCTAGTTTCCACTGCTAAAATATTTCAACATTTTCACTAATTGATTTGGAAAATCACGAATTTGTGACTCACAAAAAGTGACCCTTACTATAAACACCATCGCAAAAGAACCCTAAAATACCGTAAAATACTTTATTTTAGCTGGAATTAATTTTCACTGAAAAGACATTTTTGGTGCTTTGGTATGGAATTTATTTTCACTGATTTTTGACAAGTTGAATGTAAAATATTGGAAAAAAGGTATATTCCCTTGATTTATTTTCACTGAATCATTCCTTCAGCAAAAAAAAGCGAAAATTAATTCCAAGTTAAAATAAAGTATTCTACAGTACATGTTGTTCAAACCGATGCATACATGGTTTTATTTTCGCTGGAGCAAAAAAAACAAACCATATGGTCATTATTTACTTTCATAAAATAACAGAATTAAATAAATTTCTATAAATGTATTATGATATTGACAGACGTCTGTGCAAAAAGCAAAGAACATTCATGTTTTGTTACTGGTAGGTTCAAAAATGATATTGGATATTGTTAGTGTTAGCGTACAATAATTTTATGTTCATATAGCACTGCATGTGTACGTTTTATAATACAAGTACATATTGTTTTTCCATAAATTGCTGCGTTTTGGGGACAGTTGAATTCTCGCGTTACTATGACATTTGTGTCTTCACTTATAACAGCTAATTTCTATGGCGTTAAATTTTCTATCGAAAAACCCTCCGAGAATTCTTTGAAACGGAAACAGGTATAATGCTATATTCCAGTAAAGTACGTCATGTAAATTGAAATTACTAAAAACACACAATTACACAGCGCCACGGTATCGGTTTTGATGCACGCCGTCCACAATAGCTAATGGTTACAAGTGACACTGACAGAAAGACAATTACTATCCCAGTCACAAACGACGAGACAATATTTGATGTAAAAATAGAACAGAAAATAAGAAAAATCACATTGCGAACACATCTCATATCGCATTTCTGACGACGTTGCCCGAAGGCCTCTTCCCAGCACAGCGCCCGGCGCGGAATGCATTTTAAATTGCGATAGGCAACTACATTGCAAGACAGGTAAGAAATGCCACGAAGCGACCTCAAGTCGGAATAATTGTAGGAAGTTGTTTAAAACAAAAGTGAATAAAAATAACGGTTTTTATTTTCGGAGATGAGATTGTTTTGTTTTTTTCAAAGTTATTACGAAACAACGTGTATCGGTTCGTTGGTCGACACTGAAATATTATACGTTTATATTAAGACCTACCTTTACCTTTACTGTCAATAAAATCCCCGGATATGTGCTGACAGAGTAGTAGGAATCACTATTTTTTTCCGATGCCTGTTTGACTGTTGTCCAAATTCTACAGTCATGATGTCGATTTACACTCAAAACACTTGCTCATCTTCTGCAAATTGGAAATCACTGTCAGTCCTCACGATGACCTTTGACACTAAAGCATTTAGACGTGACGTCAAACTGCTCAAGCATTTCTCAGAGACTCTGCAAGAGGGCGTTATATTAACATATTCCGGAGCTGCAAATCAGCGTGACGCCACTTTGATATTTTAAATTGTTCTGTCCAAATGGATTTCACGAATGCGATTTTGACTGGAAACATGTTTTTTATATAAAATGTTTTGAGGATGAACACTAAAAACATTTTCGGACAACATTTTTAATAAGCTATGGAGGATTGACGGGAGACTTCGTATTGCTGAAAGCCCGTAAAATGCCAGACTTCATCTTGTTTCCCATACTGAATTATAACCATTTTTTTATATTCAAAAGCGCCACCAGTGTGAAGTAAAACTGTTGTTACCACAGAAACAAAGACGTGAATATCTTTTCTTGTTGACTTGATTTGGTGAGCCGATTTTTTCTCACCGAGTTTTGTTCACTATGTATCCAGCCACATAAGCTGTTCGAGAAATGCGAGTGGACCAAGCGTCCGTATTTAAAGGGCGGTGGTCGTCGCACAGCGCGTTTTCAAATTCAAAGTGGGATGGTCGTCACCTGCGCACGCGCGACGATCACAACACACGCTAAAAACGCAAAGGCTTATGGGTATACGCTTGTTTGTAAACAATGACACGCTATGGCCATCTGACGCATGCGCAGGTGACGACTCCCCCCGTAAAACAATTTATTTTACACGCGTGGTGTACGTTGATATGAGTCCCATATCGAACAGCACGTGGCGCGGCGACCACCACCATTTAGCTGTGTAGAAAGTGGCAACAAATAATTATATTGCCCGCCATTCTATTACATCATCCACTGGGAGAGCTGGCAAGTTGCCAACTCTATGTTTTTAACATAAACAATAAACACTTATTGCATTGTACACCTTACATTTGGTTTCAAATAAATACATTATTATTATTATTCATTTGAGACTTCATATAGCGCCATAATCCCAGAAAGTCTGATCTGATAAAAACTAAATTTTGTTTTTATCTGATGATGTTACTTCGTGGTGATGTATACATGGTGAATATAAGTCCCAGAACAGAGCGCTGTGGCTCGCCATATTTGACACTCTGAGAGTTAGAAGAGGCTCCATCGTTGTTATTAACAGAGATTAACCATGCAAGAACAGACAAATAAAATGACTTTGCGATTTTGCAAGAATGTTATTTTGTTTGGAGCAGTCCTGTGCGATAGTTTGTATGCAGATTACATATATTCATTTAGGCTTTTGGCTTGTAAATGGCAGGTTAGTCTTGATGAAACGAATTTTTCGATAAGTTTTGAAATGAAGCATACATTGGAAAATGGTCTGTTTTTATGATTATTCATAATGTCTCCGAGTTTTTTTGGAAAAGTACTCTGTCTTTAAGGTCTTCAAGGATTGTGTTATATTGTTGCTTTGTGTTTTGTAGATATCTCGATGGACAGTGAATTTAGATATTCTCCAGTTTCGTTCAACGTAGCGCCTTTTCTTTCCCTGAATCTTGATATCGTAATTTTACCATTTTGTGTCTGGTCTGATGGTAACCACTTTTTGACGCGGAGGTGCATAAACGTCTAGCAGACCTCTGCGGATGTTATCATGTCAGTCAGTGAGATGAAGCTGGATTAGTGTATTGATAACCAGACCGAGAATGTGTCCATGTCGGTGCGTTAGCTGAGTAACACGTTGAACTAATTTAAGAAAATTCAAGTATATTTTGTATTTTCTCCACGTGATCATTAGTGCTGTCAAGACGGATATTGAAATCAATGAGGAACTTTTATGGGGGATAGTGAATAGCTGGTGGTCTATCCTAAGGGGCGGAGCTACCTCACAGAACGTTTCATGTTGCTAAGACGCGCATCACTGTACCATCCCGAACAACCAAATTTATATACGTTACACATGCAGTGCTAATTTTGTAACACTGTTCAGAGGAGTCTCAACAACCATTCTAAAGCATCGTTTCCTGGGAGTTTTCGGCCTTTTTTTCACCGTGATTGTTGCCAGGCGGTAGAAATGCCCGGATGTCAGCTCTCAATAATGATTACCCTACAGTAATCAGTAGGTGATCTTACAGTGTGTTCAAATGATTTATAGATATGTCGCTGTAAAACATCGCATTTAGATTGGTTTGATGGAGAACACCAATGTCACCTCCTCTAGGTTTCAGACTTTACGCTTGGAGCCAGGAACAGCCACTGGTGGCGCTGTTTACAATCGAGACCTATTGAGATTTGAGTGTAAACCGCAGAAAGAGTTGTTGAAATTGGAGACCAGTTTAGAATGATAGAAAGTGTTTACAGTCTTCAAATAACCACAACAGACAGAGTTGGGGGTCAAGACCGAATATATGTGATTCCGGCATTTCATACTAAATGCTTTCTATTAATAATTTCACTTTCAAATAATATTCATGACATATGTCTACGTCATAACCTCGTTAAAGGTTATTAGCATATTGTGTCCGTATTCCACAACGTAAACGTCATCACAGTGAGGTCAATCGAAGTTTTCGTTCCATGCAACATACCATTCAGCACCGTCAATAAGGTTTCACCACATCAATGGTGCTGAAGGTTGTCCAAGTTCGTATTCGAATCCCACACATAAGCGACGCTACCAGATATATACAACAGTTAACAATCCAGCGGCTGCTGAGGATTAATACACACTCCCACCATGTCATTCGCTGTAATATGCAATGACAATCCTGGTTTTCCCATAACTCTGGGTGTATGTAGTAGTTTATAACCATCATAGTTAATCGCACCTATAATGAAGTTAATCTGAATCAATTTCAGTTAGTCAAGTTTCCGTCACCAAAACTCTGTCAAGGTGGTTTCCAGTAATCTGTAGTGTAAGGTGTAGTTTATGTGGCTAATTCTTGTAATAAATTGGCTGATATAACTGTTATAAGTGTTATTAAATAAATAAATAAATAAATAAATAAATAAATAAATAAATAAATAAATAAATAAATCGTTTCAGGGGTTTGCAAGGAGTAAACATGTTGGTAGGTGGTAGAACATTTAAGCATTGTTAGTGTATAGTTGTTAGTATGGGGTCATGGGGTCAACATTGCTTGATTTATCGGGAGATTGTATATTTATTTTTAGTTCTTCCGCATATGCTGCAACGTAGTATTAATGACATGTAAATGATTCTGCAGATTCTTACAGATTGTCTGAATTATCTTCACAGAGAAGTCTGGAAATCGGTTTGTAATTTCCTGGGCAGAAGTAAAAGAGGGTGTGATGAATCTTTGGCGTTTCAATCAATCAATAGATCAATCAATTGTTTCGAGGCACGTTTGTCAGAAAAATCCTGGAATTTGGACTGCTGGTGGCGCTGTCACGCATCTTGCCAGGTATGTGTTACACTTATTAACTAAGTGTTTTGACTTCTATTATTAATTTTGTTAATTAGTACTCATGGATATCGTTTACTGTTGATTTAGTAATTAAAAACAGTAAAATGGTGACTTATGAAAAGTGTACGTATAGTTCCGGATTATACGTTTTGGGGCGTAACGTAAACTTGCACGCGTGATGTTGTGTTTGCGGGTGTAACAATCGACGTGAAAAAAAATAAGATTCCCCTTTACCGAATATTCACATACTGACATATGTATTTGCACCATGAAAAAGGCGTGCGTCGTGCAGGCACCCCGTCTCACAGAGAGAATCGTGGGTTTTCGACTACCGAGGGCGCTGTCGCATATAGTTCAATGTACTCATATCGCATAAAATTTAATGACAAATGAAACTCAATAAAAGATTTATTTTTATTCTAATCGTATTGTTCTTTTCTACATTTTGACGTCGTTATTTGAACATCAGATAACTGGAAAGGAGGCTCTGCGTTTGAACTGGATGTACACAACTGGTTGGTCGAGGTCACATGTGCGTAAGATAAAGAAGGTTGTTGCAAGCATGCGATGTTTCACAGCACTTGTTACTAAACTGACGTAATGATGAAACGCGCGTGAAATAAACGAAAACAACGTGAACAGACGTTCATTTTCAAGGGGCAACTACGATAGTTTGGGTTGACTTTTTCGATGATTAGTTCTGAATCCCAAAGAAGTTTATGCCCTGAATAAAACAATAAGAAAGAATTTCAATCCCGCAATAGTTACAAATATGACTATGTATAATTGCGAGTGACGTCATTTAAAACAAAGCTATTGGTAGCCTGACAAGGTCGCGTGAGTTGCGCCCACCGCGGTGCTCCTAACCCAAGCCCAAACCCAAACAACCGCCCTTAAATATTGTCAGTTGCACCATGGCTGCAAAGTATGTCAGATTAAAAACAAACATCTGAATAAGACATAATCACACATCACTTAAGTTGTTTGGGTCATATTTACCCACCACAGCTCTGTAGAAAAAAACATTGGTACCGTAATTAAAGTATTCATCAAGTCGGTTATCACCAACGATACAAGCTGCATGTTGGCCGGTGTACGTAGCGCCTTGTTACGCCCTATCACACACGCTAATGTATAAGACACAGTTACGAACAAGAATCTGCCTCTGGATAACTTGTTTTAACATCCCTCTCTGAACTATATTTTGCATTTGCACGTTTCATATTTATAAATTTCGTTTCTATTCCGTTTAACCAATCGTCATTAACTATTACTTTATTACATCACTTTATTATAATACAGCGCCCCGTAATAATAATAATAATAATAATAATCACAATGGCGTTACGTAACATGCGTGGATATACAATGTACTCGAAAATCTGCACGGATAAAACCTGTGGTCATTCATGAAACCAAATTAAGCTGATAATAAGTAATTAACAAAAGTACACCGTCATCCGCTTATGAAATCGGGATTTCCTTACGTCATGGTGTTTTCACAATCATATACCAGTAAACCGTTTATTTTTCCGTGTATTTTTGCCAGTTTTCAATCCACTTAGAAATGCAATATGAGCGATTGTTGTTTGGTACTGAACGTTGAGAACCAACAAAACATACTTCATAATATTCGTTCGGTGAAATGATGAAAAATATTATACAAAAGCAGCGAATGTCACATTATGTACTGAAACAATAAATGCGCATGCGTATGCGAACATTGCATTTTTTTGTAGAGCGAACACCGTAGCTGTGTACTGCATTTTAGTTTAACAAAAATATTAACCAAACGTACGGTTGTCAGGCGGTGAAAATACTAGGACGTCCACCCAGAAAACAAAATCAGGAATTGAGCGTTTTTTCCAAAATGATTTGCGATTTACGACATACCCCCCCCCCCTAAACACCTTATATATCACCGGTCATTGTTTGCAAGAACCGCATACTGTATTCTGTTTCCCGGACCCCAATAATTGAGACGAATCCCTACTTTAATACAAAAATTATTTTCATACAGAATACATTGTTCTAGTTCGTTTTCTCATCGGGACTAACTAAACGAAACCTCATGAACCTGGAACCCTGTCACCGGTCCCTAAAACACTACTCAAAAATCAGAAGGTAAATTGCACAGCCCCTGAAAACAACTATAACAACACATTGTGAGTTGGGTTGCATGATAACCCTATAGCAATGATACCTTGGCAACAGTGATGCGAGTAATGTATGACGTGAAACTATGCTAACTTACGTGAGTACGTTATACCACAGCCAGACATTCCACGTATTCGTATGAAGCCACATTTTCAACAGACAAGGTCCGTTTATTCTGATATGGGGGAGTATTTTCACACCGAGTTAGTGTGATTCGGCCGATGACGATGAAAGACAATCTGATGCAAACCAAGACACGCATCTTGTCATGTGGGACTTGGCGTTTTAGACTGGTTGTTATCTACCCAGTGTTCAATACTGGTTTTCTTAAAGAGGTCTGGCTGTTTTCATTCCGTACATTAGATTTGATTCTTGCTATAAAACAACTTGTATGTGCTGTGAAATGCTCTAAATATCGAATGTATAAAACGGGCTGTGAAGTAGACAACAAACGTCTACTTTGCTTGGCGTTATTTCACCTCTAGAGGGCCAGTCAATGACGTCATCAGTGAACACTGATAATTGAATTCATTCATTCTAGTACGTCAATCCCAAAGAAGTGCTACTGTGAAAGACCTTGTTAACTGAAAGTTGAAACATTGTGAGGTGTTGTGTGTATGAATGCCATAACGAATCATGTTAAGTTTCTCAAGATCCCAAATAAAAAATCATGTTGTTGGTACGAGAAATCGACAGACGAACTAACCTGAAAGTCTGAAGACACATACAACGTTTTATCTATTAGTATACAGTGAGTAAATAACTATTGTACGATTTATAACTAAATTAGAAATACGCTGACATCAACTTGAACTACAGTACTAATTTTTCCCAACTTCACACTTTTTAATCGACCGTTTGATATTTTCCGACCGGAAAACGACCGCATTTTTATCGTTTTCCTCTCGCTCGCTTATTGAAAACACCGACCACTCGCCCAAACACTGATCACTGGCACAAGAGTGGGCAAAATGGTGGTTTGAATGACACAGTTCAGGGATACAACGAGTATTAACTATTATTAAATTCTGAACGACACTTCAAATCTATGCCATTTTGTATCGTTCGTGAACGCAACTTGAACTGTGTCCTCTTGATACGTGAGTGTTTATTTGGGTGTTTGTTATGATTTTAGCGAATGAAATGTAATATTTTATTTTATTTTATGGAATTTGGATGGAAGTGTTACTGTGGACAAAGAAAGAGAAACAAACAGTTCCAAAAAAGTTATCATGTCATGTGTAATGTAAATTTACTGTGTTCCACGAACGGTGTAAAGGGGTCGGATACATACTGTAGTGGCAGTGGTGTAGTAGAGGAAATTCACGAGATTAAATTGAAGAAAAAGAAAAAATAATTATGGTTTACATACTCTAGCAGGTTGCAATTGAATCTTTATATTTCTGAATGAAAATTATCAATGTATTTTGCCATTTATTTAGGGTTACGTTGTATTTTATTATTTATGTGTATATTCTCGCCTGGGTGTAATAAGAAATATACACATTATGCCGTGACGGTAAATGTGCAATAAATGTTGTTTAATTTCTTGACTGAAAAGTTAAAATAAAACATACCTAATACGCATTCGTCTAAGTCGCGCCCCTGGAGCATTCCTCTGGCGTAAATAAATATAAGGAAAATCACCGTGTTTGCGTTGTTTTGAACTGAAGACAATTGTAATGTAAAATAATGTTTTAGAGAAAATTGCTATTTTCTAAATGACGAACGACATCACAACTAGATATAGTTGCCACTGAGAACAACATTTACTCTACCATCAACGTGATTTGACGTCATAAGAGTGGTTCGCCGCTAGAGGGCGCATTGGCGCATGCGCGCGCATGCCGTTTGGGGATGTAACGTAAACTTGCACGCGTGATTTTGAAATAGAATGAAAATAGAATGAACTTTTATTGCCTTTCAGCAAACTGACATGTCTGTATTTTCCGCCATGACAAAGCAGGAGTATTTTTGCACGCTGGTAGTGCTACTTCAGAGAAAGTGGTCTATTACCTCACAAAGATACTTCGTCTCCAGAGGGCGCGCTTTAGAGGAAAGGTTTATTGCTCGCCCTCTATTGAGATGTAATGTATATAAATCAAACTGACAAGACTTCCACTTACATGAATTGTTTTGCATCAATTTATTTCTTATGAATGAGGCACACATTTTCTTGTATCTCACAGGAATCCTGTCGCCGTTGTCGCCTAAAGTAGAAGCCTACTCATAAATGAGAATACCCACACTTGTTTATTTTTTATATAAATTATACGTTCGGACATTATATTAAAAGGTTATCTCCTTAAAAAAGTTGGGATGGGATACTTATTGTTATTCTAAATTATTTCAAAAAATGTTAAGAAATTCAACTTTTCTTTATCAATGTGCTCAATGGAGTTGTTCTAAAAATCACGACAATAGACAAAAATGTCACTGTAACATACAAAAGAATGCTATTTCAGCGTACCATTGAACAATAGCTTCATGATTTTACATATACTAGATATTGTCATGACTAACTTTTTCAACAATTATGAGAAGGCTTCTACTTTAAAGTTTAGAATCTACGCACCGGCTTTTCAATACATCTACAATAGCCTAGAAACGTTGGCCGATTTTCTTATTATCCATACGCATGTAGTAATTTGCCGGGTTCGGGCCGAAGATGAATATATGCTTTGCACGCCCTCAAATGACATGACCTCCAGATGATCGACACTACTAACGTTGAAATTTTCAATCAACTAATGATATTTTCATTAGATCGGATTGAGGGCGACAAACACTTTCAGAACGAGGCAAAAGACAAACTATGAACATCCCTGAATATCTAGAGTAAGCGATACCTTCTGCAGTAAATAAAAAATAAACAAGTTTCATAACAAAAGAATGAAAATATTTTGATTAAAAAAAATGCATGAATACTCTATAGAGAAAACAAATGAGAACCAAGTACATGTCACGTGACAAAAACTCAAGGTAGTTCATATAGTAAAGATATAAGTGTAATACATAATTAAATTAGCAATTCGTGAATGTCAATTGTTAGATTAATTTCCCATCCTTCTTGTTTCTCTGTAACCATGGAGATATTTTATATCCATGCTGTAAAGCAGAGCCTGGACTATTTAGATGCAATGCTTATACAATTCGGTTCATCTATATAATTGTATTTATTTACATATTTCATGTTTGTGTTCTGTGATTTATTATACCACAAAATGTTAGGTAGATTTTGCATGCACAAGATGTCAAATAGACATTTCCTATAAATTGCGCCCTCTAGTGACGAATCGCTTTATGACGTAACTGAGTGACACGAAAGCCGATGTCTTTTTAATCTGTGGTCCATCAATGAAGATTATGTTTTTGAGTGATTTTACAAAATTCTGGATGACTAACGACTATACAACCAATCAGTTCAGCTGTTTACATCCGTATACGTCATTTTGATTTCACTAAAGCATTCCGTCACTAGAGGGCGCGAAGCATTCCGTCACTGGGGGCGCGACTTATAGGATTGATGTATTGAAAATTGTCCTCTAGGGGGTTTCGATAATACCAGCTACCGATAACTCTTTATATTATATAAAACTGAATTTGTCGTCATCCACAAGTCTTTAAATGTGTAGTTACCGTCTAAGCGTCACAGATCTGAATCGCTTGACGTCACTACACCCATTCTTCTTCTCGGGTACCAGCGTTGCCAAGGTGATAATATGATCCCGATCAGCAGTCTCCAGGCTGGTTATGTGTTCAAAACAACATGGCAGCGAAATATCCGACTTTTTGGGCAATTTCGGCGTTTTTGGCACATTTCTCAATTTTTTCTTGCTGATTGTTTGTTCCACCTCCAATGCACCGATTAATGATCGGATCGTCCGGAGAAGGTCCGAAGCCGCCCGTTCATCGTCGAAGCTCAGTCCTGCCAACTTTTTATGGTCGCTTGAAACTTTCATGGTATGAAAACTCTTATCAGGAGCTTTGTAATTTGTTGTTGCACTGACACAGTCCTTCCACAGAACAAAACCGGTCCCTCGCTCTGCAATACAAATCTGTGCCTGTGATCTGCGAGTTCTTTTGGTTAACAATGTTTCATTGTTATCCCAGACCAGGGCCGGTACACCCGTCGTGACCAGATCCCATCCTGCTAAATTGGCCATGTCCTCAATCGAGGACTCGTACAGGTTTACAAGTCCACGGCAGACGTACACATGAGACCGTCGACTGCGGAAAAAACTCTCGATTTGATGTACCTCATCTTCGGTGACGGGCAGCGGGAGATGAACCTGCGACATATTTCCTTCTCCGTCGATCGACCCGTTCTGCGTGGTCATAGTGGCCGCGTCTTACAGCGCAGAGACCGAGCAAAACCAAACTAATTATTGTCAATTTGCTACCGATGTATTAAATTTTTTCTCGATAGACGGTCCTATTTCCGTCACTTCACCCAGCTCCTTTGTACCGCATGTAAGTCCGTGTTAAAGTTTGACTATATCCACCACGTGCGCCGCGAACACAACCGTATCAAATTGTCTCCAGCGCAGTTAGAATCCCGTCTCTTCACGGTACCACTATTACCAATTGCCTCTTTTATATGGAATAAAAGACTGGCGAAAATCACACAAATTATCGATTTAATGCCGTACACTCTCAGTCACATTCGCTTGTATTTTAGGATGGTGATGCCTTTGCAGTAGTACGAATACGTGTCCGTACAGCAAACTTGGAGGTGCGTTATCCTCGATAATAATACCGATTGGAAATATACGTGCCAAAAATAGCTAATCGAGTTGTTTTCGCCCGAGCATTCAAAGCACTTTGAAACACAATCCTTGTTCTACATCCACCGTATTGACCAAATATGACCTCGATTCACACGTTCAGGTATCACTGGTCTCAATGTAAACAGATAGGTGCAGCGAAAATACCAGTTTGTCTGCGAGCTCCCACAAGATTGGTGATCGAATTCTGCATTTAAGGCAGTCGTTGCAATTGTGACGTGACTTCTTAGGGTCATGTGTTAGTTGTAAACAGGGATTCCACAACTCGAGGTGATGACGCGTGTGTCTGCAATTACCGACCAAACCGCCGAATCTGACTGCTCGATTGGTTTTCAATATGGCGTCCCCCTATCCGACACGGTTTCTATGGAAACGTGCATAAGACATTACACTTGGTACCTTCGCAGACTTGGAATCTTAACGAGTGTGACAAATTCTCTGTAATTCAGTATGGCTTTCGGTAAACGGAAAATCCATCAACGTCGGGTCTGAGAGAAGAGAACAACGGAGAAAACACGTTAATACAACACATCGCAGAGTCTTTAAGCGATATATGATATTTATATTGTTGTGTTGTGTCACGATGTGTTGATATGAATGGTGTCTAGTGATCAGTCTTTGTGAGTTTCACACCTGCTAAATCAACGTGTATCCTATCGCAAGATTTGGAATAGCAGTAGATATGTGAAAATTGCACTGTACCAAAATATGCAGGGTGGAAACCAAAGTATATCTAAATTGACCGATTTTACGCAGATCCCCACAATTTTGTTTTTCGCATTCTGTAGGCTAATGACGTAGGACATCAAATCATTTTCTCAACCATGGCTATGACGTCACAATTTACCCATAACCCTTTGTTGGATAATCAAGATGGTAGGATACTGATAATACTGATGAAAAGTTGAATATCTAGCGAATGTAAAATGATATAAAAACATAAATTCCATTCTCCTACATTTGGGGAGCCTTTCCATCTGGGAGATTTATTTTTTTCCCCGGACTTTCCTTAAATATCGTATATATTCGTATAAGTATATATGAAACTGTCAATTGATTCAAATTTAAGTTATTAAAACGGGACTGCAGATCAAAACAATATCACTCTAAGGTAGAAGCCTAGTCATAATTTTTTGAGAAACGTGTCCTAATATTTCTTGAAAATTGCTATTTTTAGAACAATTCCATGGAACACAATGTTAAAGAAAAATTGCATTTTTTGACACTTTTTAAAACCCAGATTTTTTAAATAATTCAGAACAACAAAAAGTACTCCAACAATATATGATTTTTTCAGTCTATTTCACTAGGTTAGATGTTGAGATATTGCATAATAATTCTGCCATAGGAACCTATGGTAAAAGTGTTATATTAGTGACAAAATGGCGACTTTCCACTAAAATGCAACCATCAATTTCTCGAAAAAAAGGCTGGTGACCCCCAACTTTTTTAAGTTAATATCCTTAGATTGAATTGGAGTACAGTTAATTGCAAAATGAATAAATTCTGGGTATTTTAATTTATGAGTAGGCTTCTACTACTTCTTAAGTTCGAAACGATGTCATGTCCTTGATAATTTCAAAAAAAATTAGATTGAACGAAACAAAATAAAGATACCGAATCATAAAATTTCACATTCAGTTATCATAACGTTCGTTAACAATCCTAAATTTAGTGCTATACAATGATATATCCAACTGAACACAAACTTAAGAATCTGTTCTTTCTGCTTCATTCAAAAAATAATAATTATAGCGCCACATAGGTCACGTCGAGTTCGAAATGGGTCCCATGCAACGCCGAACTCCGAACAGTTCGATGCAATCAAGGTAACGGGGGGGGGGGGGGTGGCGGCGCGAGAGGACGTTGTCTGATCTGAATGGAATGTTTCAAAGTCAGTCGCCAGAAGCCCATCGTCGAAGCAACAACTTCCTTATACAAAAATATAGAAACATCACACAGAAATATACAGGCTCTAAAATTATGTCTAATGCAAAACAATTCAACCGACAACCAGCTTGATGCCACTAGTTTCTTGCTGGAGCCTGTGTCCTACACGTGATTATATTGCGTTCAAAATTGTTTCATTTCAAACTGCGCATGCACACACACACAATGATTTCTGGAAATGCATACTAATTAGGTAACTTGTTGCTAGTGCCGGTAAAAGTTATTGAAACAATTTTGGGCAACTTTGAGCAATGGTATTAGAGTGAAATGTCAACGTGCTTCTGTATTCTCCATGAATTTCGTAACTTGCTATAATCACGTTAAAGAAAAAGACGAGTTTTTCATGGCTCATTAATTTCAATTTATGCAAATAAGTCATTTTTTTAGCCAATCATGTCTTGTAACTTCCTCTGCAAAGTAATAAGATTAAACAATAAATGACTAACTTTATAAACTTGCTAGAACGTTTGTGTTCTATATGAAAGTTTCCTACATTAATCGGTTTATCTCATACAGTTGTAACAGAGTAGCCGCTCTGCCTGGATTGTATATATAAAGTCTTTGCTTCCAGAGGCGTCAGTGACGTAAAAGTGAAACGTGAAGGTCGTTCAAGTCGTCGATGTTGTTTCGATTTGTAGCCGTTGATCAAAAAGATGATGTTTTTGAGAGATTTTACTATCATGTGGATGACCAACGAATATACATTATGTGTGATTTTGACGCCCAGTGGCGCTCCGTCAATAAAGGGCGTGATTCATAGGAATTGAATTATTATCCACATCTTCACTTTTTTCTCGGGTGTTCACAGGGCTTTTTTGCTCATCACATGCCTCAAAGTTCGAAATGTCACAGTTCCACCGCGCAATTAACTAAATGCGTTAACGGACAAGCAATCCAGGTCGCGTCTATGACTAATACGCATGCGCTAGTCACATGAGACCACTAAACAATTCCCGATCAGGGTTATTTGGCCAGTTTCGCCATATCCCATCACTAGATGGTGCGTTAATCTCCATATCTTATTACAATAAACATTCGGTCAAAATTAAATCCGAAAAACAAACCCAGGCAAACATTAGATGAAAAGAATTCGCAGCGATTCCAGTCTGTTTCTATGTAGTGAGTGTAATTATACACCAATGATCTCAAATGACATCAATGTCACTTGTCTGGTGTAGACAAAAACCATGTGATTAAGACTCGTAATGATAGAGGACAGGTGTCACAAATTGGTCAATCAAGTGCTCGAAACACCTGAGATCACTTCATTCATTTATACGCTTTCTCTAAGACAGACCGGAAACGGAAACGAGACAAAACAAAAGATTTTTCAAGTTAGCGTGGGGGAAATAACGTTGCTAAGTATTATCGTCAGGGAAAGCTATTGTTTAAGCTAGTCTGTGATTGGTTGCTGGCAATATTTGGGGGATTTTGACCAGTTTGTGACGTAGGCTTGTCTTAGACATATCTTTCTCTTACCGATTTGATAAGGGGTATGGTGTAATTGCATTTTAATGTCGATTTTTGTTATTCTTCATAATGTCATATTCGATTTAATGATCAATGACTTCTACTTGACACCCACATTCTAAAATACAATTGTACATTATATTGACGTTTTAAAAAAGTTTCAATAACAAAGACACTTGTTACAACAAATCTTCAGTCAATCATGGAGCTCCATGAGTCAATAGTCAGTGGGCGGTAGATTTTAATGTTATTAGATGCAAAGCACACACAGCAGAATAAATCCTTACCAGCAGGATGGGACTTAGACAGAACGACGGATACGTTTATACAAATCCGATTACAGAACAATTAGTTTTAAATTCAGGTCACGTTTATCTAACTTGTTGCGTGCCATAACACCATGTGCAGAGAAAGAATAAGAAGCAGAAAGAGAGAAAGTGGAATGGGCGCTAGGCTAGGTAGTCAAATTGGAAACGGAAGTTGTAATGGTCCAACTATTTTAGAACATAGGGGTGGTTAAAAGAGTGGGGCCAGTGCAATGCTTTTTGTTTCATTTTCGCAGTGTTTTATCTGTACATTCTCATCGTTTTTGAAAGTTTTTTTTTTATGTAACATCTTGCATGCATTTTTTTCTCGGTGACGTCACACGATTAACCGCCCAATATAAACTTAGACGACTAAATTACAAATAATATTTAGACATAAATAAATGCACACTAACGTTGTACATATAATACCCCGAAGAGTACTATATTCGTTACAATTGTTGGTTGAGTGAATGACACTCGAGCTCGAGTCTAAACAATATTAATAATATCCCGGCCGCAGAGCCATTACCCACAATTCCCCTTTATACAGTGATAGATTCAATGATAATTCTGCATAGGCAATTTAGTGGCTATAGAAACAAATGCTGGAACAATGTTATCAGTTCTTTTCACCAAAGCACGTGCAACTCACAACTACATATGCAGCCCAGTAACTCTTGATTTTCGAACTTACATGGCGTTACTGTACTATTTTTGTTCATGCGTCTCTGAAACCACTGAAAGGACATTGGAGTGGTATGACAACTCCAAGTAAACTACTAGTATACAGTATATTACATTCCAGTTAATTTTCATTGACGGGGT